GCTTGGGTCTGCCTTTTTGCACAGTTCATGAACACTGAACCACGTGTCAGTACTTCATTCCTTTTTATGGACAAGTAATATTCCATTGCATGGACATCACACTTTTTGTGTACCCCTTTATGTGTGGAGGGGCATTCAGGCTATTTCCACTTAAGGCAATTAAGAAGACTGCTGCTATGAACATTCATTCTAGGTTTCTTGTGGACACAAGGTTTCATCTCTCTTGGGTACACATTCGGGTGCCCACTATGCACCAGCACCACGAAAGGACCTTCACATCCCTTCTCAGGATGACCTACAGGTGAGCACTGCTCCTGCTGTGTAGCTGCAGAATCTGACACTACCGTGAGGATGAGCAGCACAGAGCCTGAGGAGCCGGGGCTCAAACCCAGGCGCGACCCTATGGCCTGCACACCTGCAGACCCCAGCGCTCAGCCACTCCTGGGACTCCAACACCACAGAGTCCTGCTGGGGCCAAAGGCCTGCATCTCAGGTGCCTGACAGGCAGCTCCCAGTCCCACCCTGCATTAGTTAAAGGTGACTGTGTCCCTCTCCTTACTCTCTGCCAAAAGCAAAAATAATGTTCTCTATACCCACAGAAGGTTCAATTATGAGAATTTAAACATTAAAAACCTAGGCTGGGAGGCTGGGGCTATAGCTCAGGGATTAAATGCTTGCCTAGCATGTGTGAGGCAGTGGGTTTGATTCTCAGCACCACATAAAAATAAATGAACAAAATAAAGGTCCTGTGTCCATTTACAATTAAGATGATGATGATGATGATGATGATGATGATAAAAACTTACCCTGGGATGTGTTGCTCAGTGGTAGAGTGCTTGCCTAGCATGCACAAGGCCATGGGTTTGATCCTAGCATTGCCCCCTGCTCTAAATCAACTGGTTAAAAATCTAAACTGTGTTCAAGAACAACAAACGATGAGAGTTGGAGAATATATAAAAGAATTTTAAAAATCTAGAACTTAAAAGTGAAATTAAGAATTAAGAATTTAGTGATAAATTTAACAATTTAACAATTAGACACTGTGAAAGAGATAATTTGTAAATCAGAAGTTAGGTCAGAAGAAAATATCCAAAATGAAGAACAGATGTGTGCAAGAATAAACATACAGAAGAGCATATAGGAAACATACACAAAGATGGATCCTGTTTCCAGCCTGCACCCAAGAAGGAGAAGAGTAAGAATGGGATCAAGTATTGACAGAAGCATTATATATTACAGGTGGAGGGTCCCCATGGGGAGAAGTGTCCTCGAGAAGAGAGGCTGAGCTGTGTGTACTCTCCCCTGCCCCTGCCCTCTCTCCCTGTCACCCAAGGACATAACAGCTGTCACCCATCTGCAAACCTGGAGCAGAACCCTCACCAGGGAGTGACCATCTCAGAACTGTAAGGAATGGATTCCTGTGGAAGCACCGTCTGAGCTGTTCTAAGGCAGCAGAACTGGGGACACCAGCACAGGGAGTGCAGGAAAGCCACTTGTGCAGGGCCTGCTACAGCAAGGGAGCCACCAGCACCACTGTCCAGCACTGGGCAGAGCCTCTAGGCGGGCAGAGGAGTGGGCCAGCCTCGGGGTGGGAGCAGGGCCCTGGCGTGCCCTGGTGGAGGTGGCCGGGAGGCTGGGGGCAGGGCCTGTTGGGAGGTTGGCTGGGGGTCTGTATTTGGGTCTAGTTGTCCTACATTGAGAGCAGGCCCCAGAGCCCGGGAGGCTGTCAGTTTCCTACCAAGTCCTGGCTGTGGCGGGCTGATTGCTGCAGGCTCTGGCTGGGTCCAGGCCAGGGCAGGTAGAGCTCCATTGAGCATCGTGGTCTAGCCGTTGTCCATTGTATGTCCAGTCCCTGGCCAGGCTCCCGTCTCTCCTTTTGTGATGACCAGAGGACCCATGCCACATGCTGAGGAGGAAGGCTGGGGGGTCTGTCCGAGAGTGTCCTCCTGGGCTCTCTTGGGCACTGGAGTTTTAAATTAGGGCCTTGCTGAAGGCAAAACTGTCCCTTAACAAAATCATGGCTCCTGGAGCTTCTGGGCCAGGCAGGAGGGGGAGGGCACGTCTCAGGCCAGTGGGGACAGAGGCCCCCAGCACACCTTTGTGAACATGCTGGCCCAAGTCCTGGGAATGCAGGAGTCAGGATGGGGTCCCTGCACTGGGCACTGAGGAGCCTGGGGTGCTCCGGGGCCCCCTCAGCAGCCTGGTGGAACTTTTAATATAACAATATTTTATGGGGGAAAGGCAGCAGAACAAAGGGCTCCCAGGACATATAAAAGGGCAGAACACCTCGCCTCTTGGGATTCCATGACACCAGCTATGGCCCCCTTCTCCCTTGCGGGAGAAGTCTGTTACCCCCTTTTAAATAAACCCCACTTCATAAAAAATATTTTATGACTAATTTAAAATAAACAAAAGACAGCGTTCAACAGTGGGACCCATATCCAGCTTGAACCCCCAGAGAGGGCCTGCCTGGGGGGTGTCAGGTCCCAGGTGAGGAGGCACAGTGGCCGCAGCTGTGGGTCCCAGCAAGGACACCTGGCACCTCCCAAAGCCATCCTAGAGCTGGGAAGACAGGGGGTCTTCCCAGTGGGCACTGGAGGGGGTTCCAGGTTGTGGACAGGGTGGGCTCTCAAGGTCCTGCCTGTCTCCTCATTCTGGTCCCAAAGTTTTCCAAAGTGGGAAAATTCACCTTCTGATGTGAAACTTCGTCTCCTTTCCTGAGGGAAGTCCCCACCGAGGAAGATGGACAGAAAGGTGGACTGGTCAGGGTAGCCCCAGGTGAGCCACTAGACCTCCATGCCCCCGTTAGTCTGGTTTTCTAAATGCCCCTGGGCTCCTGAGGATTAATCAGGAGAGCCTGCCAGAGTCAGCTAAACTGGCGGGGGTGACCGACGGACCTGAGTCTCTGAGTGATGCATGGTGTCCATGTCACCAACCCTCTGCTTCCAGGCTGGGCCCTGTTTACACCAGACACTTGAATTAACCACAAGACCAATGGTGAATTTCCAACATGGAGCCATTCTTGAGCTTTGTAGCATGCCATGCTGTGGAGTCAGCTGAGAACCCGTGTGACTTGGCGTTTGGGGACAGCTGTGTGTCTGCACCTGTGCAGACACAACCGAAACCCACTTTTTCTGGCTGACTTGGGGCGTGAAAATGGTTGACCCTGTCCTCTGTGGCTCCGCTACGACGGCTGGTGCAGTTCTCACTTGCCGCACGCCGGGCTCTCACGGTCAGTCTTGGGAGCCAATGAGTATTTAAAGGCATCTGGAATTCTTGCCCACTTTCTAAGGTGACATGGTGGCAGAGAAGCAAGAAAAGAGCAATCCAAGTGGTAAAATAATGTTTTATTCCATGATGAACAGACGCTACCATGCCACATCCCCACGTCCCTCCCTCCGGCCAGATCTGCGGCCATGCTGGCTTCCCCTTAGGACCTCCTTGGCTCTGCAGCCAGTCACGCCTGCTGAGAGCACCACACACCATGAGACTTTGGATTGGTCCTGGTTGGCACGGTGGTCATCTATGCAGACCTTCCAGGGACCTCACAAGGACTGACCTTCAAAGCTCTTGTGGATGGAACCAGGACCCCCAACACCAAAAAGCAACATGGACACCTCTCCTCTGAGGACAGGACGTCTAGGGCACCCAGCAGAACCGGAAGCTGGAAATCAGCACTGACATTTGGGCTGTCAGCAAGCTCAGAAGGAAATGATGGTGATTGATAGATTTCAAACTAAGACTTCTAGGGAGTCCAGACCAGCCAAGAGGTCTGCATGCAAGCTCAACACAAGGTCAGTGCTGCGGGGGAGTCTGCACAAACGCCGGACGGACACGCGGTCCTTTCTTTATATACAACAAAATGAAATGCACACTGGGAACAGCAGCCGCATGTCCGGCCAGAGTGGATCTCAGGAGGCTGGCAGAGAACAGCGTGGACCTCACTGTCTGCGGGGGAGGGGAACAAGCCATCCCGGGTCGGAGGCAGGGCTGCCCATCAGGGCTGCTGGAGCTTGCTCAACAGACCTGTGGGTGGGATCAACACTTTGCATGATTTTTAGCCAAATGTCATCTGGAAAGACTTGACAACTTATCAAAGAGGAGGAGATGGGCTTAAGGACAGGTGTGCATGGACAATGTGGACCTACAGCCGGATCCTAACATGGCTCAGTGGAAGGGGGGGGGTCTGTCTATGTTTCCTTTTGGTGAACACTACTGGGCGATTTCCTCCCTCAGGGTTGGAAATGCCTCCACAAAGTCTGAAGACCACGCTGAGGACAGAGCGGTTACTTCCGAACGGTTTCTTCATCAGAGAAGGAAGAAAAAGCACAGGAAAACAGCCCCACAAGCTCAGACAAGGGAGCGTCAGGCGAAAACCATAGAAAAATATGAGTCAATTCTATCAGGTTGACCATTAGCGTAGCTACAGTAAGACTTTGTACAGAAAAGGGTCTGTTTCCTTGGTGCAGTCCCGAGTGATGCCAACTCCTGGTTATAGAAACGAACAGGCCAGTGTGGACACCTCCAGCCGAGACAAGGGGCTGTCCTGGCCGCCGTCCTCACTCCCCGGCACGGCTCCTGCTGCCAGCTGCAGCACGCTAGCGCGGGGGGTGGGGTGGGGGTGGGGTGGGGGTGTGGTCTTAATGCTACGACTGAAAGCTTGGACTTAGGGGCCGGTTTCCTGTGGGCTCAAAGTGGCCCTCACTGCCATCTGTCCATTGCTGTGTCCCCTGGGGGAGGGGCCATGGGATGTGCCAGTCACTGTGGGGCCAGGTGGAGGCGATGCTGCCGAGCTAGGGGTTCCAGGCTGCGAGGGGACACATCTCCACCGGGGAGGGAGCTTGTTTCCCAAGCCAAACTGCCTTAGGTACCCGAGAGGCATGCTGTGGGACCTCAACACCTCCGCCCGGCCCCCCGGGGGGGAGGAGGGCGGCAGGGGGATTCCTCAGTTGCATATTGTGGTAGAAAGAGCCACGTCTGTGCTGAGGGCTGGCCCGCGGTCAGTCCTCCTCCTCGTCCTCTTTCGCGGTAGCGGCTGGTAGCTTGTCCTGGACCCTGAAGCATTCCACCAAGAAGTTGATGATGGACCTGTAGAGGTGCTGCTGGAGCGCAGCGCTGTGGAAGTAGTGGCCCTCGTCGGGGTATATCTGCAAGGAAGCCCAGGAGGAGTTACCACCCTGGCCCACCCTCCCCGGGGACACAGGGACCCGCCTGAGGAAACACACCCAGAAGCCCCCAGGCCTCCTACTGAATTCAGTCGGCACCATCAGTTCTGGCGGGTTTCAATGGCAAGGGCCATCCCCTCCTGGGACGCCTGCTGCCTCTGTGAGCAGGCTTGTTCCTGAGCAGGGGGACGAAGCCGGCCCTCTCCCCCGCACTGCTCCCCGCCCTGGCCAAGGGCCCCCGCGTCGCGCAGCGGGAGTCCGTGTGCTAGAAAGCACCACATTCAACAGACTCAGCCCTCTAGGCCTGTTTTCTGAATTTGCGACCTGGACACATGCTTGGGGTCTTCAGAGGCTGTAACCCGAATGGGGGTGCCAGGATTTCCATAAGAACGCTGCCCACGCCAGCCACCCTCTGAGTGGGGGAGGGTCCCAGAGGTGCAGAGCCCCGTTTCTGGCTGGCTACACGTGCACCCTGCCTGGGCCTGGCCTTCCAGGTGTGCAGGTGGGAGGATGATCGTGACAGACTCTGTGACATGGTGTGTGAGAAGTCGATCTGGGATGTGGGAGGCCTGGCCCGTGGGCTGGTCCTGCTGGGTCAGAGCCCATTATTCTACGCCCCCCCCCCCCCCCCCCCCCCGCCACCCCATGCAATGACACCGCCTGCCCCTGGGGGCACTGTGCCGTTCCCCACACGAGGGGTTCCAAAGCCGTCTGCCAGCAGTGGGTTCTCAGGGACCCCAGACGGCTCTGTGTTTTGAATTCTCTTATGTCCCTGAGGGTGGCGTTCACCTTGACCTTATTATTTCATTAGGCTCGCATACTTATGTTAAAATAGGGAGCTCACAAAAGGGAATGGAGGAGGAGGTCTGCCTCCTCTTCCTTCTCTCCCACACGTGGTAGTCAGAGCCAGGCAAGCACATGCTGAGGAAGAGTCCCCAAGGATCTCTGAAGCCCCAGAGACCATCGGGTCCTACCTGTTTTACCAAAGGAACCAGAGGGCAAGAAGGAAATGGGAGAAGTGTCCAGAGGCAACCCCGTGTGTTGCTGGAGGGAGCCCAGGCTTGGTGCTGCTGGGTTGGTATTCAGAGCCAGTGAGGACGGACAGTGGGTTTGGTCCCTGGGAGGGGCAGCACTTGGTAACAGCCGCAGACGGTGCTGGGACTGCATGATAAGTGTTGTGGCCATGTGTGGCACTGTCCAGAGGGAGGCTGGCAAGAGCTAGGCCAACCCATGTCCCCATGCAGGAACACCCCACCGGCCACACTGCTGGGTGGGGCGTGTGCTGGCTGGCCCTGCTCACTGCCCAGGGACGGCGTGGTGTGCTGGCCTGTGTTCCTAAGGGATCTCGCTATGGCCTGAGTGTGGGGCTGAGCTACCGTTGCGAGGAGAAAAAGAAACCGTGTGCAAGTGTCTGAGAGGCTGTGCCCAGCCCACCGCCGATGTGCCCAGCACACACGAGTGCTGTGCGCCCCTCAGTTCTCTCCCCAGGAAGAGGACGTCTTGCTCCGAGCATGAAGCACAGCAGATGTGCATACTGTACCTGTAAGCTGTAATTAGCCTTTCCCTTAATGAGCTGTGTAATGAGCTCTGCTGTGTGCTGGAAGTGGATTTTTTCTGAAAGAAAAAGAAAAAGGAAGAGCAAAGCATTTGCCAACACCGTAACACCATCCGGGCGTCTCCACCAGCTGGGCCGAGGGCGCTGGTCCTCACCGTCCGCCGTGGCATGGATGAGCAGGAACTGCTGTTCCTCCAGCGCCGACACCCGGTGGGCCACCTTGGTCATCTGCACACATGGGAAGGGGACAGGTGAGGGGCTGCAGGGAGAGCGGGCTGGGATGGGAAGGAGTCCGGGAACACTAGGGGACTGGGATGCTCTATTCACAGTGCCGCCCCTGGAGCCCAGCTCCCGTCCTCTGCTCAGTCTTTAGGGAGAGAAGGCAGTTGAGGAGAGGAAGGGAGAGAGAACAAGGAGTTTCTTCAATGGCAGATGGCCTCGGAGGGCCATCGTTCCATCTGGAGCCCCTGGAGAGGCCCTGCCCCCAGGCAGAGCGGAATGGTGTCCTGTCTGAGAGCCACACCAAGTCCACTGGGTGCCCCGTGGTACCAGAAGCACTTCCTGTGCCTGTCCACAGCCTGTCTTCCCAGAGGAGAACAGCTCAGGTGCAGGGAGCAGGAGCCAGCCACAGCCTGTGTCCCAGTGGGTCAACCCGGTACTCTCTCCCTCATCCCTCAAACCCTGTGGTGGGAACAGACGGCACTGGGAGAGGCCACATTTACCCGGTACAGAGTGTGGTAGGATGAGCTGGGGTTCTCAGCCTGAGGGTCTTTTTATTTCTGGCACTCGGGATTGAATCCAGAGAGCTTTATCCCTGGACTATATCCCCAGTCCTCTTCATTTTTTTATTTTGAGACAGGTCTCACTGAGTTGCTGAGGCTGGACTTGAACTTGGATCCTCCTGCTTCAGCCTCCTGGGTAGTTGGGATTATAGGCATTCTGCCACCATGCCCAGCTCAGCCTGGGCTTTGAGGGGCAAAGGCCCTGGCCCAGAGAGAGGGGGCAGGCTGAAGATGGGGCCAGACTAGAGGGGAGCAGAGAGTGGGGGAGAAGAGGTTGCCCCATTCCACCTGCCCCCCCACCCCATCTCCCATGGCAATTGTGCTTCAACCTACCTCATATGCCCTGTTGTCCAGTCCGTGGAGGCCCAGGTACCGCTCAGAAAACGCAGATGCTGCATGGGGCAGAGGAGGGGTCAGCTCCTGACCTCAAGGCCCCATCGTGCTGAGCCCAGACCCTAGGGATGGGCTGGGTGCAGGGACCAACCCACCGTACTTCATGGCAAAATGTTTGTTTTTAAACAACATCATCTGGGCATCTTGGTTTGTTGGGTGGGCGGCAAGAGAGTGCAGTGGTGTGTTAAAACGCAGGAGTGTTGCAAAACGGGAATTAGCAAACCTAATTAAGCTAGATCTTAGATAATCAGGAGTAGCCCCACTTCCTGTCCACACACAGGAACAGAAACACATGGCACGAGAGCACATTCCTATCAGCATTCACTTATGTTGTTGAAACATCTAGGCCCGTCCCTGCCTGATCCTAGTTCCAGGTCCAGGACCTACAGGGACCTGGCATTGGCCAGATTGGTCAGTGCCTATGCCAGGAGGAATTCTCCCCCCATCACGGGGTTCTGGGGAGTCCTTCATGAGTGGCGGAGACAGAGGATGGACTCCCCATCTCAGCACTGTGGCCATGGCTAAGTGCAGCCCTAGCATGCACGAGGTCCTGGGTACCGTGGCCAGCACCACACACACACACACACGCACACGCACACACACATGACACAGAGGGCCACATGTGCATGCATTTGAATCAGATAAATGTGAAGCAGCATGATTAAGAAATTAAGAAAAAAATCTCACTGAATTTAAAAATCAAAAATATGCCACACAGATACCTAGGGCAAACTGACTCTTACTCAAAATTAGAACCAGGAGAGTTTCTTGTAGAATTCTGACTTGAAATCTACATTGGAAAGATCATGGAGCGTGCATGCCAAGATGGGGTGTCAGCTGTGGGCGCCCAGAGGCTGCTGGACCACAGTGGCCCCTGGATTGCTGCCTGGGGTCCACTGTTTTGAGATAGGGCGTGTGGGCTGAGAAGGCGTGGGGATTGGCGGCTTCCCGCAGGGCTCTGGCCAATAGGTGCCCTGGGCTCTCCCCCCACAAGCCAGTACTGCTTGGGGTTGCATGGCTGCCTTCAGCCCTGACCCAAGAGCAAGTTCTCAGAGCCACATAAATCACCCCTCTGCACGTCTTAAGATGGGTGAAGGTCACAAAGCCCCTCACAGTCAGAAAAAGGCTGGGTGATCAGAGGACAATGCAGGGAGCTTAAATCCCAAAACCGTGCTGCAAAGGGGCCACATCTGTGCCTGGGCAGAGGGCTGCTCCCACGCTGACCTGGGGGGTCCCACCTCCACCAGTCTCCCACAGCCAGTCACCCTAACCACCTGTCCCCGGAAAGCCACTCTCTGCTGCCTGCCCAGCCAGGGAGAGCACTCAGGTGGAGCAGAACTCTTGACCTCCCTGAATTATTATCATCCAGGAGCAGCTGAGCCTTGCAGCCACCCGGCCCCTCTCAGTGAGCACATGCCTGCCAAACGCCCCAGGTGCCCAAGCTCAGTGCAGGGTCCTGCCTGGACTCTGGCAGCAAGGAGAAGGGCAGCCCAGGGGGTCCTGGAGGCCTCCTCGCCTTCTGTCCTGACTGCACTCCTGAGAGCTGGCCACCAGTTCTGGCTCCTGGTCTTGTGTGCTGCGGATGAGATCTGCTGGTATTGGGGGCTGGACACTTCCATTCAAAAGCAGTGCCTGACTCTCCCCGCTCCCAGGTTTGGTATGGACTGAGGGTGCCTGCCTGTGGTTGGGGTGCAGAGGTGCTGTGGGGGATGGTGTCAGGGCCACACAAAGGGGCCCAGTGCCAGGTCCTCTCCAGGCATTACCGTACAGCTTGAAGTCCGTTATTGGTGCCAGAGCAGAGCCACAGGTGAAGGTCTGGCCTTGATTTTCACCCTTGGCCGGGAGGATGTAAGTGCTCAGGTATCCACCGTAGTCCTGGGAGAGCATGTCAGAGAGAGAAGACAGAAAGAAGAGCTCGCGTCCACCCCGCACCGTGGAACCGCGTCCGACACAGGAGGAGGGAACATTTTCACGTACTTTCTCTTTCTTTCTTTTCTTTTTTTAAAATAGTTTTAGTTGTCGATGGGCACAATGCCTTTATTTTGTTTATTTATGTGGTGCTGGGGATCGAATCCAGGGCCTCACATAACTGCAGGTATTAGGTAGGCAAGCGCTCCACCTCTGAGCCCCAGCCCCAGCCCTTGGACTTTCTCTTTCTAATAAATGACTTGAAGATTTCTTTGAGGGCAGGAGGAGAGGCGCAGTAAGGCCCTTTCCAGCGAGGTGGTCTGCCCTCTCTGGGCTCCGAGCCGAGTGGCACAGCTGTGTGCAGGTGCAGCGGAGATGCCGCTGCTGACCAGGTAGCGCTGGCACGAGGGGCTGGAGCAGGCTGCTCTCCTCCACCGCCCCAGTGCAGGCCAGGCCAGGCCAGGGGGAGGACGGAGGGACCAGGACTGCACCCGACAGACACGTGTCCTGTGGGTGGGTCGAGCCCTCGGTTGACCTTGGGCTGTCCTGAAGGGCAGCTCCCCAGGGAAAGATTTACATCAGCGCCCACATAGCACCCTCAGAGCTGGTTGGCTCAAGCAGCTGCCGCCTGGTGAAGAAGAGCAGAGCCCAGGACACAGATGCGAGCTCTGAGGAGAAAGGCCCCAGAGAGCCAGGGGAGGGTGCAGGGCTGCCAGCGTGTGTGAGCAGGCCTCAGCTTGCATGTGAGTGTGTGCACGTGTACATGGGAACGGGTGAGCAAGCATGTGTGTAAGTCTGCGTGACTGGTCTGTCAGTGTGTGAGTGTGTGTGTGTGAGTGTGTGGGCCTGTGCTGGGCTTGGGGCCGTGGCGAGTGGGGGCACCGCAGGCTGGATGGAGAGACTCCCGCCCTCTCCCTGTCTCGGGGAGCACAGGCGTCCCTCCCTGTGTGGAGCAGACCGTCTGCTCGGGGCTGTGTGGCATGATGAGGGACACAGAGCCCAGCTGCTCCTGGGCTCACCTGAGTGGACACAGAGGAAACAGGGTCCCAGAAGGTCCCCGAAGGCCAACCTTCTGGGACCGCAGGATGCTTCCTTCACAGGCTCTCGAAACCTATGTCTTAGGTCAAAACAGCCCCAACAAACTCTGCCCCTGGAAGGAGCGTGAGCCTCCAGGAGGGCAGAGGCCCAAGAAAGGCCGGCGGGGACCGCGCACGTCCGGGCCGGACTCCTGCTGTGGGCTGGGCGAGTGGGCCACATCTACAGGGTGCACGGTCCCTTCCCCGCAGTGCCCTTGGTTCCCGCAGGCTGGGCCAGCCATCACTGGGAGAGCCCAGTGACCACCAGGTGACCCTTGCACCTGCTGTGTCCAGAGCAAAGGTCTCATGGGTGGGATGTCTAGGCAAGGATGGAGGCCGAGGAGGGAGAGTGAGGACCATGGAGACTGACCAGCGCCCCAGCTTTGGCCACCAGTCTGTTAGGAAGTGACTTCCAGAGGCATGTGCGTGATAAGAGGTGACCCCTGGGATATACTCATCAGCCATCCAGCTGGCTCTGGGGCCTCTCAGGCAGGGAGTGGCCTCCATATGCCTAGAGAGCCTCTGGGATAGTCCCAGGCTCTGGTCTGTCCCACAACCAGGAAGGTCGCATGCTCCCTCCCCAGTGCTGGGCGCCATAATTTTGGAGCTGCTTCCCAGATGACCTGCTGGCGCCTCCCCCTGCAGTGGGCTTATGGTGGGGGCCTCTGTGCACAGCCCCGTGGTCTTGCCTTCTGGAGATCAAGAGGCCTCGGTCCAGGCACAGGGCGGTGGACACATCAGAACCATAGTGTGGCTCTCCAGGCACCCAGCTCCCAACCCTGGGCCTCTACTGTGGCCTGCCTATACCCGCCACGGCCCTGACCTGGGCCCCCAGGTGGACACTCCTCTGGTCTGACACTGAGCCTCCTCCCCCTCCACTAAGCAAAGGTGGAGATAGAAGGACACCCAGAAACAGACTCCCCTGCCCTCCTTTCCTGGGTCCCACAACAAAAGCAGCCACAGGCTCCGGAAGAAGATACTGAGGACACACAGAGCCCTCCAGCAAGGACCCAGCCGCTCGCTCTCGGCTTTCAGGTACTGCGATGAGAAGCACTGGTCATGGCTGATGAATGACGGCTCCCTCTGCTGCAAACACAACGCTGCCAACCTCCTGCTCTTCAAAAATAAGCACTCACTCCCCAGACCCCAGACAACCCCACGGGTCAGGGGAGCCTGCTCAAGACGCAGCAGAGGGGCCTGGACAGGAGACGGCACACTCACCTTCCCGAACACAGCCACCCGTGTTCTGTCGATGTACTGCTCCTTCAGCATGGTCCTGCAAGGTCAAGGAGGAGGGAGGGGACTCAGTGGCCCCGGGGCTGTGCTTTGTGCCCAGTGGCCCACAGACACTTCCCACCATCTTCTCAAGCATGAACACCCCTCTTTGAGGAGTGGTCCTCTGGGGCCAGCAGGGGTCCAAGGAGCCCTGGTTGTGAGCTGCAGGGCTTAGAGTGGACCTCTGAGCTCATCCCACTGTGGTGCCCTTGTCCCCAGTTCTTGGAGAAGGCCCCTGTTTCCCTAGATGACCAGATACACTCCTTCCTTAAGTTCCCTGCCATGGCCCTGCTGGGGAGCAACCAGCTGGTGTCCAGTCGGATGTCCCAGGGCCTGCTGCCTCCTCACCAGAATCTTCCCACCCTCCTCGCTGTGTCCTCCTGTGTCCTCAAAGTGACTGCAGTCTTTCTGGTTTCCGGACCCTACGTCTGCATCCGTCCTGCCACCTGCTGGGGGTTCCTGGGATAGCTGGCTGCGTTCTGAAATGGTGCGGGTTTCCCTGGGGGCACCTGCCACCTGCCCGCAGCTGCTGCTCTCCAGTTTCTCTCTACTTCTTGGTGTGTTCTGGCTCCTGTTTGTTCCATTCTGCTGGATGGTGCCACCTGCACTCATTTACGCCCTCCTCGGCCAGAAGAGGTGTGAAGCTCTAGGTGCTGGGTCCCAGGGGCCCCCTCCCAGGCCTGCCAACTTGCCAAGGACCCCGGACCCCAGGATGTGGCAGCCGGCCCTGGGTGGAACAGCGTTCTGCTGCTGATGACAGAAGACAGGACAAGTTCTGGGGGGCAGGGTGTGCCTCTGCTTGGAGTGGCAAGGGCCACAGGAGGTGACTTCCTTGGCTTCAGCAAAACTGGGGTGATTTTTGGTTGTCATGTCATTGTTTTAGTGTAATGGGTTTCCCCAGGTTACTTCTAGAACACTGGGGACCAAGGCCGCTTCCCTCCATGCCTCGGTTTGAGTACTAGCTGAGCACAGAACAGGGTGCTGCCTCCTCCTCCTCCTTCCTCTCCTGCTTACTGAGTACCTGCCATTCATAAGGCCCTGGGTCAGTCTTGGGGACAAATGTCAAATAACATACGGGTCTCGACTTCCAGAAGCTTCTGCTCTCAGAGTCAGGATCCCTGCCTCCCACTGTGACTCAGCCACAGGAGTTTGGGACCTTCAGGCAGGTCCTTAGACTTCAGGGTCTCAGTCCTCAGGATAAACTCAACAGGCTCCCAATGTTGAGACAGGGGCTCAGTGGAGGCGGGAACAGACAAGCCAATTAAGTGTAGTCTGCGTTCCAAATGGTGCTGCCCCAGCCTTCCAGAGTCGAGGGAGGGTTGGAGGACAGGAACCCAGAGCTGCCCACGACCTGCTCTGTGGTGAGCATTTACAAAGCGCCCCTCCCTCTCCCTCTGACGGCTGGCTTAGCTGCACCCAGAGAGCTGATGTCATTACCCGCCCCTCAGCTGCTCCTGGGCAGTGGGCAGTGGGGAATGGAGCAGTGGCCACTGGGTTAAGGAATCCAGAGGCAGACACTTGCGGGATGGCTGGCGGGCTGGGAGTGGCTGCCTCTCTGGGGGAGGGCAGGTGATGGCGGGGCAGGAGCAGGGAGGCAGGATGGCCGTGGTGCTGGGCATCTGTGAGGGCTGCACTGTGTCCCTGCAAAGACGCACTGAGACCCTAATCCCCAGACTTCAGCAGGAGGCTATATTTGGAAACAGGATCAATGGTAGATGTACTTAATTTGGGATGAGATCTCCCTGGAGTAGGGTGGGGCCCTAATACAATGTGACTAGAGCCCTTCCAAGAGGAGAGACACCGGGGAAAGCCATGTGATGTGATGGTGGGACACAGGGTGATGCACCCACCAGCCACAGGACCTGGACGCCTGAGCTCCGAGAGGCTGGCAGAGGCAGGAAGGACCCTGCTGCCGGTTTCAGAGGCGTGGTCCCTTCCACACATGGCTACGGGGGCCTGGCCTTGGAGAATCAGTGCTTTTTCTTTTTAAAAGTAGTGTCCTCCAGATTTGGGACTTGAGACTTGTGTGCACACACACACAATACATGCTCATGCACACGCACACACCCTCCTCTCTCACTCACGCACATTCTCTTGTACACACTCACTCTCACTTACACACACACACACTCGTCTCTCTCACTCACACACACTCGAGCTCACATGCCAGGTCACCACCACTGCACTGCGTGTGTGGACACCATTACTGCAGGGGAAATGCCCCGGGGAGGAGGGCCTTATTCTCCGAATTCCTGAATTTCCCTTCAAGGCCCTGAAGTCTATACACTCTACAGAAGTCTATCTGGGTAATCTCGAAGAGTCTGGCATGACCAGCTAGTTCAAGAAGGGTCAACCTGGCCCATGAGACTTCTCCCCAGGGCCACGTGTCCGTCCAGGCCACGTGGCTGGGGATCCGTGTGCAGCCTGTGGAGCATGTGATGAACCTGAGTGGGCCCAGGCCCTCTGGAGGACATGGCCAGGGTCTTGGTTCCTTTCTGATTTGTGAAACTTTCCTTGTTTTATCGTTGTCCATGACTACCTTGGGTCTTTGGTTGGCCTCTCCTCTAATGGCCGGGTGGTAGATCCCGCTAACGATGCCCACCTGGAAATGACCGTGTTCTTCCCAGGACCAAGTACTCTTGTTATCTTGTAGCAATGTTCCCACTAACCAGCTGGGCAGCTGCCGCAGGAAGATTTGCTTGTGGACATGGACCCTGCTGTATGGGAGGCAGGTCCTGCGAGTGGTGGGCTGCTTACTGCTGGGGGATGCGGACACACTGCCAGGAGCTGACAGAGCCAGTCAGGCATCTTTCTTGATCCAGCTGGTACTTCGCTCAGTTGCAGGTCTGGGTGGAGGGGTCCAGAGGACCCCAAAACTCGCACCCTCAAGAGGTGTGAGCGGGGAGCAGGCCTGAAGCGCAGTGACAGTGACAATGGCTGGGACGTGCTGCGCAGTCGGCAGCTCTGAGCTTGGCAGGCAGACAGAGCAGACGCCTTGCCCTCGGCTAGGAGCGGGCACTGTGCCACGGGAGGCCAAGGAGCCCTCATGGGTGGCAACGTGAGCCTCAGTGACACAGAGAGCCTGTGGGCTTTGCGGGGACCTAGACAGAGCTGCTGTCTGCAGGTGCCCTGCTGTGCCTCCTGCCCTGCCCTGCACCCCCTCACCATGCGCTGGTTCTGCCCTTGGGGGCCCGCAGAGCCCAGAGGGAGCGGGGCAGGAGGTGAGATTTTAGCTGGAAGGAAAGGATGTCAGGAGACAAGTCAAGACCTCGAGGGGTGCGTAGGCAAGCAGGGGCCGCTCCACCCTCACCAGCCAGGTCCGTCCCAGCCCTCCACGGGCTCCGCACTAGGATCCATCCACCCCTCTACTCGCCCTTGCTCTTCCATGGTCCACCGGTGCAGTGGGTATCAGGCGCCCTGGGCTGAGCCTTGCATTACCCTGGCCTTTGGAACATGCGTCTCCTGGTCTCCTGTTGCCATCTGGCTGTCGCCTATTCACCCCTCAAGGTCTAGGCCATGGGCACCTCTCACTGAAGCCCTTCTGGGCTGGGTCACTTGCTTCTGTAGCACTGTGCTCCCAGAGCTAGTGTGGCTCTGCCGGGGCCCACATCAGGTGTCGACGTGACCATCCCTCCTCACACAGGGGACTTCTCTCCCTTAGCTGCTGATGGGACATGAGGTCCAACGGGCTCCAGCAGAAAAGGACCAGCTGCAGGGAGATGGGGAATGGGATGGCTTGTGAGAGTGGGGAGCCTTGGGAGTCAGCTGGGTGGGCCTTGTGATGTTTGTCCTGCCCAAACTGGCCATTCTGAGTAATGGGACCACAGACCCCACTCCGCAAGAGCCAAAGTTGTGTGGCTGGACACAGGGGCACCCTGCGGCCTCCTGGTGGCTCTAAGTTTTGCAGTTGTTTCTGTGCTCTTGTCCTGTGAGCTCCGGTGGTTGAGATTCGACGTTGCTGACGGTTTTTCTCGAACAGGTTCTATCTCGTTTTTGAACACATGGCTGGCCCATTCCTTATTTTTGGAAAAGAATGTGAGTGTGGAACTGCTCTGTCCTCCTGTTCTCTGGGGGGTAGCAGGGCATACCAAGTGCTGCAGCTGAGCCTGAAGGACACCTGACCTTCCACCTGGTCCTCAGTGGGAGAGGAGCCTGAGCTGGGTAGGGAGAGGATAGAGTGCGAGGGGGCAGGGGAAAGGCCCCGGGAGGAGGGCAGCCCGCCTCCAGCCCTCTGGCCTCCTCTTGGGAACCTTCTGCAGTACACATGGCCAGCTGCTGGCCTGCAGCCACAGCTCCTCCTCCTTCAACACAGAAACCAGGGGTTCTCGTCCCTCGTCCTTCCTCTGCCAGGAGGGGGCCCCAGCAGGAGAAAGTGGCCCACGTGGTCTCAGGGTGACTGCCTGCACCTCTCTTGCTCAGCCAGGGCAGGGCAGGGCCGTGGAAGGAGAGGGTTGTGAGCTGAGTCTTGGGGAGCTCCCCCTTCCTTCATGGAGGTTTCTGGAAGTGGCCTCCACCTGCCTGAACCTGCTGGAGGTGCATGAAGCGGCACGGAGCAGGTGCCTCTGATGGCCATCCTGGGATCAAGTGAGGAGTTAGCTCAGGACAAGGTCATGTGGTGGATAAACAGATGGAGAGGGCTGGGTCTTCAGTGGGACTGTTGGTCTCTGGATCTCTTACCCCGGGATCTGCTGTCCCTGTGGACTTTCAGAGCCAGCACAGTTCCTTGTTGAGGTGTGTGTGTGGTGTGTGTGTGTGTGTGTGTGTGTGGACATGCACACGTTGACTTCAGGCAAACACGACCTTGCGGTGCACCTTCCTGACTACCAGGTCCTCGATGTCTCCCTGTGTCTTGTCTGTAACACACGCAGGGGAAGGTATTGCCTTCTCCACGTTCACCTGGCTCCTGACACCCTGGAGAAGCCACTTGTCCCCCTCACTGCTTCATGGGTTTAAAGTCCTTTATCGTGTGAAACCACATGCTATCCATTAAAAAAAAAACAAGAGAAAATGTTCTGCCAAGCCAGTGATGTGACCCCTTCAAAAGCTGCAAAGTAAATTGGAATGATAACTGGCACAGAGGGGCAGTCAGCTGTGGCTCTGTGCTGTGTGTCCCCCTCACACGCCCGGGCCCAGCACGTGCACCTTATTGGCATGAGGGTGGTGCAGGCGCCCCTCTCGGGTTGGAGACACTGCTTCGTCATGGGCCTGGTCATGCTTTCTCTTCCCCGTCTTCCCTGCCCTCCCAAGTGTGCGTCTGCACAGTCCACTGATGGTTCAGGGACACCTGTCAGGGAGCCCCGGTCAGCGGCTCACCATGTTGTGCCACAAGACGGGGAACTGTCTCCATAGCGAGCCTGAGGGCAGCCAGCGTCTGGTCTGCACAGCTTCCTCTTGTCTCTTTATTTCCAGGGCAGATGACATTCAGTAAATGACTGAGCCCCGCCCCTTGGTGCTGGGCACTGCCTGACCTGGGTAGCACCTGGTTGGTCTCATTGGCCCAGTGACAAGGATGGAAGGGGACGGATAGGACGAAGATGCACCAGTCCCTAGAATCGAGGAGGACGTTTCTGACCCCCCACCTGCACCTGCCCGGGGCTGTCTCCTCCATCATGAGGGTGACCCTCTGCATGACCCCACTCGGATTCTCTTTCTGTCCTTCCTCCCTACCTTCTCTTCCCTAGTGACGAATGGCAAAGATGAGTGTGGACACGGGCAACACTGGCCACACGGAGAAGCGAGGCAGCCCCACTGCCAGTCTCTGCCTCCAGCACGTGTTGTGACCACTCAACCCAGGAGCCACACAGCTGTGGGGACACCACAGGAAGGTCTCCCTGGGGCCTGCTCTGGACTTGCACACAGAGCTTTCTAAGTGAGAGCGGGCGGCAGGCAGGATGCGAGCACTGACCACAAGTGCCCATCCCATGGCCCTGGGCAGAGCCCCACTGGAGGACGTGCCCCTCGTCCCGCGGACAGGTGCTCACCTCACGGCCTCCATTTGGTCCTTCTCCTCCAGGGCGCCCAGCCGCCTCCTCACTTCATGCAGGAGCTTGGTGCCTTGGAAGCCGCTGCCTCGGCCGTCACATTTGACCACCACCGCCCCGTGGCTGCTCACCATCACCGTCTCCCAAGTCACCTCAAACTTCTCCGTCACACTCTGGCTCCCGGGAGTGCCGTCCCTGGAAGACCGTCACAGCTCAGCGTGCTACAGGGTGGGCCCGCGTGTCTGCAGGTTCTTTCCTAAAGGACCCTGCCCTTGACCCACATGCTGACCCCTTAGTCCCAGGTTCCCTGCCAGCGTGGGCGAGCTGAACTGTTCACACACATGGGTGGAGGTGTGCATGGGTGTGCGTAGAGGTGTGTGTGGGGGTGTGTATGGTTTATGTGCAGGTGGTGTGTGGGTGGTGGGGGTGTGTGTAGGTACATGTGCAGTGTGCATGCGTTTTGTGTGTGTGTGTGTGTGTGTGTGTTGTTGGCAAAACTGTGTTAAACCAGTCCAAACATCAAGGGATGTGAGTTCAGGTTGGCGTCTATACCACAGTTCAGGTTGGTGTCTGTATGTTATACTCATAACAAAGCCTTTGTGTAACTTAGGGGCTAAGCCCAGGATGGCAGCTGGGCGAGGCCAGCAGGGTCCCTGGAGCTCCATCAGGTGTTCACCAGGTGGGCAATGTCCTATGCTCCCTACAGCCACCCAGCGCAGGCCCCTGCTGGGACTCATCCTTCTCAGCCTCCAGAGGCAAGAGAGCTCCACGGCTCCTCCTGCCCCCTGGGTCTGGGAAGGACAGGAGAGAAATAGACAAGGGCAGTGTTAGACCCTGGAGTCCTTCTGTAGTGGCACCGTCTCCTCCACAGAAAATCTTAATTGAGCTTCTCCAGAATCTTCACCATAACTGACCTTAGGACTATCAGCACAAGAATCTCTACAAAAGAGTTCAATTAGTTAAACTTCTTATTTCCTGTCACTCTACCTTACTTGGCCTGAAAGACAGCACCCCAGGTGCTGGACGCCCCTTTACCAGTTTTTCACAAAAATTTATCAGTATAGTGGTTTGTAGAAGTGTGTTTACAAATGCAAAGTGTGATTTAAAAAAGACAGATCCTTTAACAAGGCCTCTGGCCTTGAGCTGGGCTTCACAGAGACATCTACATTTCTAAGATACGCTAACAGCTGGCAGGGGGAGGAAAGAAAGGGGAGAGAAGCTCCCCCCTTCTCAGGTGTCATCCTTGAAGGGTTAACTTTCCCAGAACAGTGAAAACAAAAAGCTGCTTTATGTGAACTCCCACAGACTGGGAACTTCTGAGCCCCTCCCCTCACAGGCTGGGTATAAACTTCTGAAAATGCCTGAACTCAGGGTTCAGGGGGATTGATTGATTACAGCAAAAGCTTTCCCCTCTGAACCTGGCTGCAGCCAAATAAACCTGCTTCTAGTTCCTATTTGGTGTCTTGCCTCATCTGTCCCCTGCAACAATCCCAGAGCTTCTTGTGTGAGTGCAGGTAACCCATCCACCTTGCTGTTAGCATAAGGGCCCTGTTAACATGCACACCAAGGATAGGAACCCAGCCTGCAAAGAGCCCCAGGCAGACCCAGCCTCTTCTGAGGTGCTTACAGAGCATGTGAAAGGATCTTGGTGTCTAAAGCAAGGGTCTGCTGGCCAGCTGGAGGAAAACTACACATTCAGGGCCATCTATGGATGATGCTTGGCTCCTGGCAGTGAGAGGTGAGCTGGTCCAGCTATCAGAATGCAAGTAGCAGGCAGGGTCCAAGGCTTAGGCCTCCCCGTCTGTGCTCAGGGACAGCCTAACCTGGAAGGTCCCCTCCTGCCCTCCATGAGCTACCTTCAGGAAGGGCCCCTCCATCCTCCATGAGCTACCTTCAGGAAGGCTCCATCCTGCCCTCCATGAGCTATCTTCAGGAAGGTCCCATCCTGCCCTCCATGAGCTGTCTTCAGGAAGGTCCCCTCCATCCTCCAT